TTATACGAGACAGTAATGCCCTGCACCCTTCATAGAACACACTTCTCTGTGCGAAAGGCTCTGCCCTTCGAAGGTAGTAGGGATGCTCACTTCTGTTTGGAAGTCGCCCCATGTCTCTATAATAAATATTTATTTGCAACAACTGATGGAGTACTGAATGCTGCACGCACGCGTAGCGTTGTCAAGGTAACATTTGGTCAGTCATTCCCTTCGCCGAGGGAGTTTCAAACGCTTATACGAGACAGTAATGCCCTGCACCCTTCATAGAACACACTTCAAGGGCTCTGCCCTTCAAAGGGAGTAGGGCATAGGGATGCTCACTTCTGTTTGGAAGTCGCCCTCATGTCTCTTGTATCACCGCAGAGGTGCAGACACGCTCTCTCGTTTCATTCAAATGCAGCTTGTCGTCTTGCGCCTCAGTTTTTGATTGTATTGAAAATGAAATCAGAGGAATTTAGTATTAATACTACTATAATTTTGCTGTAGTGATCATATTGTCCTGACGATTGTTTTGCACACTGTTCATAATGGATTTATACGATTTCAAAACATTAATCTCAATTCAATATTTCATATCCCCGTATTTATATATTATTTTAGGTAAACAAAAAAAAATCAGTGTAATAAGTTAACTATGAATATACAATACATTATCCCTTAAATGTCAACCTTATAGTTTGAACGTTCGTTCGTCTTGGCTCAAAGCCACTTGCTGAGAACTTTTCTTCGCGGAAGCTTTGCGTTAAACAAGTGAGATAACGAAATATTTCATCTCTAATCAATATTTTTTGTCCAATTATTTGCACATTAATTTTGGTATTGAGGTAAAAGTTACCTTGCATTCGCTATATAACAGTGGGGGGTGGTCACGAAGATGACGGAACAAATTTGACACGTTTCCCCCTTTTGCAGCGACTTTCTTCTTGCAAGATCAGCAGACAGGGTGACCGTCCTCGATTAAATTGCCTTCAGGACTCTTGTAAAAGCCAAAATACGACCAGACCATCGATTTGGTCCTCATAGATGGCTGAAAAATCTCCCGAGTGCTGTCAACTCCCTTCCGCCATTTCGTCTCGTGCAAACAACAACAACACTGCATGCTGCTTCTGCGTCAGACTGATGCTGGCTGGACAGGATTTACCGCGAGTTTTCAAAATTGCGATAATCAAACACGGTTTTGATGATAATTAAATTTTAAACGGTAATACTAACCGTCAGGGCATTGTATCGTGATTTATCATAAAACCGGTAATCGTTACATCCCTAGTAGAAATACTTAACTTTGTTTAATTTCAATTACCAAAAACAACTTTTAATTGTTTTGAGTTTTAGTTAGTTATATCAACACTGTAATGGACAATGCTGAAGAAATTGCCCTTTTAACATGGTTTTGCTCAAGATTTGCTATGCTTTTTGCATGGCTAACCAGTTTTGCTTTAGTAACTCTTTGAGGGAAAACCTGAGGAGAATGAAATGTAGCGAGGGTGTCGCGGATACACCAGAGAGACGCTGGAGAGGGAGGGGAGGAAAGTTTGAATGTAGAGACTTGTGCTCAGACGGTCTGCACACTGAGGAGGGAGTGCCGTTATGTTAACACAGAGGCCTTTCAGTCACACCACCCGCTGTATAATCGAATGGAGGCAGGAATGACATAGTCTTCCTCACAAGACATTCAATATGACATAAGCTTTGCATTATTAATCTGCCTTGCACTTACTGTGTGCTGAAGCTCCCAAGGGTGTTCTATCTGGATTAACATGAGTACACATATGGCAGTTTTCTTTTAATATAATACATCCAAAACAGCAAAAACAAACAACAAATGTAAAAATGTTTAGCTCAAGGAAACTAGGCAGACGTCTCCTTGTCTCTGGTATTTAATAAAACCATAATGTATTGGGCTAGCTGCAGGTGTAACCAAATAGATAAATGTATTGTGTATGTGTAAGGAATAATGTACTGTTGGTTAGTCATTATCACAAAATCAATCCTCCTTCCGGTTCCTTGTTCTTCAGAGCTTGTTTTAATTGGTGACTCCTGAGCTTCCAGCCATTTATCAAAGGTTTTCTGCTCACCATATATATTACAATTAAAGGGATAGTTCATCCAATTTACTCACCCTTATGTTGTTCCAAACCTGTATGCATTTCTTTCTTTAGCAGAACACAAAAGAAGATACTTTGAAAAATGTGGGTAACCAAATGGTTTTGGTTACCATCGACTTCCACTGTATGCAAAAAGGAATCCTGTTAAGACATTTCTTGAAATATATTCTTTTATGTTCCACAGAAGAAATAAATTTCATTTTTGGGTGAACATTAAGTTCTGAAATCAAGGTTTCTAGAGGTTAAATTAAAGGTTTCTTGGGTTAAATTAAATGAACAGTTTTTAATGCCCCCACCCACACACCCAGTAGTCAGCTGTATAAAGAATAGGCTGATCAGATATTGACTATATTTGTCACTCAGTTTAAAAAATCTGCCATGTCACCTGATAAATTAATAAACAAGAAATCCATATATGAACTCATAAGTGCTATTTTGCTGAGCTTTTTGATTGAGTTGATTATTTCTGATTATTTTTATTCTTTCAGGTTTGATTTTTGTGCTGATCAGTCTGAGAAGCGTCCATCTGAGAACTTGGGTCAGGTGCTGTTTGGAGAAAGAATTGAGCCGTCCCCGTATAAGGTATATTACACAACGTTCTTGTAGGTCAGAGCTTAGCACTAGCAATGCCAAGGCCATGGGTTCAATCCCTTGGGAATGCATGAACTGATATAATGTATACCTTGAGTGCAACATACAGAGGTTGGACAAAATAATGTGAACACCCATTACTAAAGGGGTTACTGTAATTTGTGTAGACTACAGTGGGGAAAAAAATAATAATAAATACCAAATAAATAATTATTTGGTGTTTCAAGAACAGATGTCGTTACGATTATGACTTTGTAGACAAAGTTATCAGTGAAGAAGAGTAGTCAGCGAATGTGAATGATAGGGACCATCAAACACTAAGTAGAACTGTGTCCAAACAACACAGAACTACTGCAGCAAAATGACTGCAAACCTCAGTATTCACTTTGGAGACCCTGTTTCCACAAAATCCAACCACAGAGAACTTCACAAAGCCAACATCCATAATAAAACTTTAATCACAAACACCAATGCTAAAATGTGACCCTGGAGCACAAAACCAGTCTTAAGTCGCTGGGGTATATTTGTAGCAATATCCAAAAATACATTGTATGGGTCAAAATGATAGATTTTTCTTTTATGCCAAAAATCATTAGGACATTAAGTAAAGATCATGTTCCATGAAGATATTTTGTAAATTTCCTACTGTAAATATATTAAAACTTAATTTTTGATGAGTAATATGCATTGCTGAGAACTTCATTTGGACAACTTTTAAAGGCGATTGTCTCAGTATTGTGATTTTTTTTGCACCCTCAGATTCCAGATTTTAAAATAGTTGTATCCTAACAAACCATATATCAATAGAAAGCTTAAGTATTCAGCTTTCAGATGATATATAAATCTCAATTTCAAAAAAATTTACCTTATGACTGGTTTTGTGGTCCAGGGTCACAAATGTCAAAAAAGAAAAGGGGTCATGATTATAAAACCTGGACAGTTGAAGCACCAAGATG